ATATTTTTTAGTTTCGGGACCATTCAACTAGAATGAATTATTTTTGAAAACAAAGTGGGTAAATAGAATTCTTTAACACGTTGAATGCCATGGGATCACCAGTGACCCTCAACCAAATTGAACGACGATTATCTGAAAACATTTCTGTATTATACTCATAGCTACCTAATGAAGTGACATTAAACGAGATCAGCGTGCTATAATAACACGATTCGATCAAATGATTTAATATTATATTTTTTCCATTTTATGTATTTCGCTTTATGAAATTGTGCGGCGTTCAACGTGTTAATAATATAGCGCTGTTTTACAATATTTTTTTCCTGTGTCATTTAACCGAAGTACCTAGAAAGCTTTTCAAACAAGTTAATGTAAATGTTCAGACATCATTAATCAGTTACTTACATGTCACGGCGTACGTGCAGTTTGTACTTTATGTTTAAGCTAATAGGAGAATCTATAGCTGGAGAAAAAAACTGACTTCTATACGAATTTTTTTAAAGAGTACACATATTTTATATTGATAACTTCTTTATGTAACAATATTCATTATGTACTTCAGTTGTCGAAGTTAATTTCAATTTTATTACACCTTCTAGGCATTTGAAAAATGAATTGATTTTTTACAATATTAATGAATGACGTTTTAACACAGTTATTGCAGTAATTTTAACTTTATCTTTTCAAATGAAAGAAAATAAATCGGACTAGTTTTACCGACTTAACGTAATTAACGAAATTAAAAGTTCATTTCCCCCTAATTGATAAAACTAGATCAATTTACGTCGTGTTTGGACTCATTTTAATGATAAGAATCTTAATATTCTATCGGTACTACGATTGAGAAGGTAAGGTTAAAATTATTGCAATTGAAATTTTCTCCATTAAATGTTTATAACACATCGGTCGAAAAGTCCCGGGACTAACTACTAAAACAACTACTTTTTTGCAAAATTTGGCTTTATTCATCAACATAGTCTCCTTCAAGAGTAATACATTCATTCCAACGCTTCTCTAACATTTCGATGCCTTTCTTATAGAACGAATTGTCAAGACCTTCAAAAAACGCTTCAGTTTCCGATATGACTTCATCATTTGAGTCAAATCTCTTTCCCTGGAGCATCCTTTTGAGGCTTGCGAACAGGTAATAATCGCTGGGGGCCAGGTCTAGAGAATACGGTGGATGGGGAAGTAATTGAAAGCCCAATTCGTGCAGTTTTGTCATTGTAACCACCGACTTGTGACACGGTGCATTGTCCTGGTGAAAGAGCACTTTCTTCTTCACCATATGCGGCCGCTTCTTCTTGATTTCATTTTTCAATTGGTCCAATAACGCTGTGTAATATTCACTATTGATGGTTCTACCTTTTTCAAAGTAGTCGATGAATATTATGCCATGTGCATCCCAAAATACGGAGGCCATAACCTTTCCAGCCGATTGTTGCGTCTTTGGCCGCTTTGGCCGGCTTTCACCGGCTGCTTTCCACTCAGCTGATTGCCGATTTGACTCTGGAGTATAATGATGGATCCATGTTTCGTCCATTGTCACATACACACGCAAAAAGTCCTGTTTATTCCGCTTAAACAGCTCCAAGCAGCGCCCTGAATCGTCAACGCGTTGTTGCTTTTGTTCCACTGTGAGCAAACGCGGCACCCATTTGGAAAACAGTTTTCTCATTCCCAAATTTTCGTGCATAATATTGAATACACTGACTTTTGATATCTTTAGGATGTCAGCTATCTCCTGCAACTTCACTTTATGGTTGTCCAAAACAATTTTGAGGATTTTTTTTATGTTTTCTTCTGTGGTAACCTCTTTTGGACGTCCTGAGCGTGCAGCATCATCGGTGTCCGTACGACCTCGTTTAAACTCAGCATACCACCGACAAATGCTTGTCTTCGAAGGAGCAGAATCTTTATAACACTTTTCAAGCCATTGCTGAGCTTGAGCGGTATTTTTTCCCATCAAAAAACAGTGTTTAATCAACACACGTAATTCAGTTTTTTCCATCGTTTTGAAAATAACAAATGTAGCGTCAGTAAAGGCACTGTAACTCAATGATCAATGGTCGGAATGGCATGAGATTTTGACACGTATCTTTTGAAGGTTATTATTAACAAATGATGGGATGGATTTTTTTTTAAAGGCGCTATCTGTGGGTTAGTCCCGGGACATTTTGACCTATGTGATACTTGACGCTTGCAGCATCTCTTTGACCTGTCTATTTCTCTTCTCCTCATTGTGTTCATTTTCTGTTCCTGTTTACAGGGATCACATTACACTGAGCTCGAGACAGTGAGTAGTGCGCGAAGAGTAGAAATGATGCAGTGGTATTAAGCCGAGCAGATTTCTGTGGAATTTAAGCGAGCATCATGCAGGTTAGACTGAGGCGAATTGGATCGAAATAAGAATCCAGTCCACATTTGTTGTATCGCAAATTATATTTCTCATTTTCTGTTTCTTATTTGCTAAAAGAAGAATAAAAAAATTCTTTTCCGTTTTTTATCATTAACGGTCAAGTAATTTTAGTTCTATGATGTTAAACAGAAAATGATCTGATTCACTTCGGTCTACCCTACAATCGACCAATCTAGTTAGCCGGGATCCCCAGAAGACGCAGGGTTAACCTGGAAGCCCGTACGAAACCGAATGAGAACGCGGTTACGAAAGCCCGATGATCGGTGTAATAACGTTGCATCTGTTTTATATAAGTCGACGATCGGACGTTGCGACGTGATTTTATGTAATCGTGCACGCTTTCCACTTTCGGCTGGTCGAACAAACTTAAATCGTTCGCGAGGGACGCGAGTGCTCGAAAAACGAGCTTGGTTGGTTGGACACTTGACACTGAAACTGCCAAACGTGTCAAAATGATTTACCTTGGATTTCTACTTTTACAATTTTTGAGGAAATACAAAATTCATTGCAAAGTGTAAATCGATCGAAATTTTAACACATCCACAACCACGGTCATATTTGAAGTACCCTTACTGTAGATCGTGTCTTTCTTGCAATTGTTTCACGTGATATGTTATTCATAAATTTTTTTACATTTAAAACATAATACATAAATTAAAGCATTTTACATAAATGTCATATATATATGAAATTTTGATATAGCCGAAACGACAATAGGCTATATGTATGCTAAATATATCTTAATATCATCAAGCTAATCAACAGCGTCGCACATAAGTATGTGTCAATGAATCCATTTCTATAATTTGTGTGAGAAAACATATAGGGTAACAGCGCCTAATATGGAACACTACAATATTTCGAAAAATAAATAATTTGATATGTCAGTTATTATGGGAAACGCTTCGTTGGTAATAAAAAACAATCTATTAAAGAATCAAGATTATTAATAGTTGAACATCAATTAAGAATTTGTCATTGAATTATTGTGTTTGGTAGTTTTCAAATCAGGTGTTCCATATTAGGTGCCGTTACGCTATTAGGCGATTTGATTGCTCGGTAATTCTAGTGCTAATATCATCAACCGTTGATCTTTAGGGTAAACGTAGACACAGAATGTTTCTATATATAATAATTCTATCAACGGTACTGCTGTGAAAAAAATTATAGGATAAGGGGTTAATTACGCTGGGAAAACATCACGGAAACGAAACCGTCGGTAATCCGCCTCTTTGTGGATTCTTGTGTTCGAACGTGACTGCTAATACTTACTTACCCGTGGATCGATACAACCGAATTTCACTCGCTCGTTAAACGAACCAATTATATACACGTGTCACAAATAAAAGCAGAGTGTTGCGCACACTTTGCGGTCCTGTGTTCTCGATTTTTCAATTTGGAAGTTATATCAGCATTGCTTCGTTTATAACTATTAACGTTTATAACATATATAACTATTATTAAATAAATATTTTTTCGGTAAAATAAAAACTTTATTTAAAATAATGTACAAAAGCCTAATCCTTAAAGTAATTGGTATTAAATCTTTTATCGGCTTTGAACTATTTTGTAAAAATACGTTTGCATGATTTTTTGAAGTGTTCCAAGGGTTTCCCTAGACAGTATATGTATTCATAATTCTTTATAATTATAAGATTCTAAAAATTATTACGTATTTTTGAAGGTTCCGAATAACGATCTGTATAAAGAAATAAGAATGTTTTTATTTATAGGGAAGAATAACATTATTCCCATTCTGTACAATAATTTCAAGATGGAGTTCGTAATGTTACTCCAATGTTCACTTACATGCATTATCAATGTATTATTAATTTTCGAATTATAAATTATATCAATCTTATAAATATATGATTAAACGCAATTACCCAAGAATAAGCCGAAAAAGCCTCAGAAAAATGGCTCTTTTTGTAAAATTGTTTCTTCTCACCATTGCATTAATTCTAATCGATTGATTTCTTCGTGACATAAATTAAAATGTCAGGATTAATTAGATATTGTTAATTAATATCTAATTTAAATTAATATAATATAATTAATTTTTTTGTGATAAAATTAGATTTAGCAATTCCTAGTTGCCCACAAATGAAAAATTATATCACAACAATGAAAATTTTCTTAATTTTCCAATAGTTCATTTGCTTTACCTCTAGGTACTAATGAAACTATTTTGAAACTTTCTTCTACTTTTGTTTTATTTAAATTTTGTTCTATCCTCTGATATTTTCACAAATCTGCTTTAGATCATCATTGTTTCAACATTTGTACGTCGATTTTTGCTTTGAAAATAATTTATACAAAAGTATTGTAATTCTAAAATTTGGATAAATATGGAGATTTTGGTTATCGATACAAGGATTAATTGTCTTAACCAATTAACTACGTTTGATGGGTACACTCTTCATTTTTTTATTTCATTGCGCGCAAAACGAGAGATTTTTCAAACTAAATTCTACAGTTAAGAAGTTCAAAGGTGCTTCACTATTCGAAATTTCCTTGATTTAAGTACTTTTCTTTCTGTCGAAAAAGCCAATTAAACATCGCACGTGTCATTTATGTGTAGAAATGTGAGACCAGGCACCAACCCGAGTACCGGAAATTCAGCGTGGACCCACAGATAACATCTATCGAAGTACTTCAGAGTATACTCATCAAAGCGTTCGACATCAAAGGGTAAGACAATGCTGTTATTAATATCCGTGTAATCGCGAAACGTGTTACACGATGAAAGAGAACAACGTTAACATGTTCTCGCTCACTTTGGGGCGGCGGTGATTAACACGTTGACTGCCATCAGAATTTCGAACGTTTTGTATAATATTATTTATTCTTTCGTGACAAAGGTAAATGGTATTAGAATCAATTATTAATGATTTAGTATATACCATAGTTATTAAGTTATACTATTATTTAAGTAGTTACTTGGTTTGTAGGGACAATCGGCTAGACATAATAAATATAACCAGGGAAAGAGACAGGGAAGTACAAAGGCAGGAACAGACATCGAAAATACAAAAATTAAAATGCAACAGAAGATATCAGTATTTATTAGGAGTAGGAACACCAAAATACTTAAAAAAGATCCCCGTATATGGGGACGCTAGAATAATTAGTAAACGCGTGTAATAAAACAGAGTCAGGGATGACATTAGAATTCATTTTAAACGGTAGGGGGAACAAATGTGTAATAGATTGACTGAGATTTTTAAAAATGATTACTTAAACGTTTAACATGTATCAAATGCAATGATTTTCGCGCAACACAGGAGTGTTTTGTTTACTATACAATTTTTGTAACACCAATTTAAAATAGTTTTACAAAAGTACATCGCCATGTACGAGTCAATTTGCAAATACATAAAATGTTTCATTCGATAGTTTCTTTGTAATTGATTTTTACAGAGAATTCACCGTTTCATATCGGGCAATAGACGATTATGGATCCGAAACGTACTTATTCCTGCTTTCCGATTGGGACTTGGATGCAGCATTCATTAGGTAATCTTTTATATACAATCGTTAACACGTTCAGTGCTACGTGTACCACATATGGTACACGTAAATTCTTGTAAGAAAATATTTTTAAGTATTTATTATTTAAAAAATATTTTATAAAATATTCAAATATATAAATATTACCAAAAACTTTAATGTAACTTAATATTTCATTTAAAAAATCAATATAGTTCATAATGTGTTAATAATAATATAATAAGAACTTCATACCTTTGGGCGCATATACATGTATGCGTCCAGTGAAAGTCATCGTTATGGATTATGAGCGCATATATGCGTTTTTCAACCGTTTTAATCTCACACGTGCTACGGTGACAATCATAAGTGTATGTGATTATTATACGCGTTTCTTAGTATTATTCAATTTGGCCTAATTGAAGAATTACAATCTTTGTCGTAAGATCACGATTTCGATCGAACTGTACGTTATTTAAAGAATTATTTTTAACTATTAACCACTTGACCTACAATATCGGGTCAGACTGGTAACGAAAATTTTAAACTGAATTTCAGAAATCTAAATGTTATTTATTTATTTTTAAATATTAATTAAATATTACTTTTCTATTATCAATCGTTAACCTTTGTAGTAAACGTAGACATAGAGTAGGCATCAAAATTTGTTCTTTTCCTAATAAGTTATTAACGATGAAGCAGTTGTGTCGATCATAGTTACGAAATAAGTCATAAGGCAAGGGATTAAACAGCGGACTGTAAAACCGTGGTCATAAAATAAATAAAAACTGTGTAGACTTGAAACTGTTTTAATTCGATGTTGTTGTCTTTATCGCTACAAAATGAGTGTCCTGAAGACACTATTTAGTCAGAGGAACCCCCTTGTCAGCGAGGCTCTCACTGTGTTCATTGTACCCCAAGACTTAAGAACATTTTCCCTTAACGCCAGATTTACGGACATTTTTTCTACAATTTATTCTATTGTTCTCAGAAAACTTGATGTTCGTTCAGTCTGATCTTGGAAATTACAGGTATAAGAATAGACAATTAGGATAAATATTCGTGTAATTGAATCATTTAAAATCGATGTAAACATTTACCAAATAATGTTTATAAAATCCAATATGCGTCAAGTTGACACATTCCGTAAATGTAGTGTTAAGAAGGCAAGCATTGACGAAACGCAGACAAACTGCGTTCAACTTTCCCCTCGTTTAGATTTTTTTCCAAAAGAGTTAATAATATTAATAACCAGGCAAGTGAAGCCGCGGGTGTGAACTAGTCCATAGATAAACCTGACGTACTACGTATCTTGATACCGTGCGATAAGACTTGCAGTAGCGTTGACCGGTTGTCGGTTGTTCCAGCGCTTCCGAACCATATTTGTACCTACAAGTCAACTTGAAACCATTCGGAGAAACGGGCGACTGCGAGTGTTACTGGGAGCAGAATGCCCAGGAAGTATCAACGCGACAGGAAACCGGGTTTCCGTACAGGACACCCAAGTTACCTGGTCTCATAATGAATAAGGCGAGTAACTATTACCTTCTTGGCTTACATATGACTGAATACGACGTTACGTGAATAATTATCTCCTTTCAAAGTGGAGAGTTTGCACGTATTTACACGAGCGATAACGAGGCGTTCGGGTGGTTAAACTTGTTTTTATAATAATCTTATAATTATCCGTGAATTGTAAAATCTCGTCTTAATATCGGTTTATTTGTCTATGTAAAATTTAAATATATAATATTCTTTATTAAAGAATGGTTTGTGTTTTTAAAATTTAACTCAATTCATTTAAGGTATTATTAATTTCTTGCTTTGTAGCATCGAGACAAACTTGTTATAAAAATTTTAAATAGAAATCAATAAATATTAGTATTCGTTCATTTTTAAATCGAGGTAAGATATCAGTTTTTTGTCAGTAATCAAAATTTTAGAGTAAATATAGATTTCCTTTTTCATTTGAAAAATTGTTAATGATAAAATTGCTTTGTTTAATAGAGTAACGAAAGAAACTATAAAACAAAGAATTACGAGACGTTCAAAGCATATTAAAAATAATAATTGTAGGACGTTAATTAGTATTATGAAATGGTAGCATTTCTTTATGTTACTCTTCTTTAGCATCTCCTAACCAACGGAATTTACTTTCTTTAATTACGCAATAATTAGTCCTTAAAATACATTTGTATTACGTGACCACAACAATGTTTATATTAATAGCCTAAAATAATATAGCCGCAAATTACTGTGATTTCAATTAAGATTCAAAATTTTAACCCTTTACAGTTCTACGCTAAAATAGACTCAACATTTAATCTCGTTTCAAAAATTACATGTTTCATCAATTTTTATAAATTTAATTATTCGCATATCATATTCATATTGTACATAAGTACAAGTTCAGTGTTAATTGTTTGTCCCTTATTAAACTATAACCAAACACAGTAACACCGATATAACTTCCAGAGTAAAAAAAAACCGAGAATACTTCAGACTCGAGAAAACCAAAGGATTAACAAAAGTTAGAATACAAAGCACCATGTCTCAAAATGAGAAATTTAAAACATGTAGAGTAAAACAAATCATAGGAGTCTAACGATTAGAAATGGCATTTCATAGATGGAGAAAACGCTGAACATGGTTCAGCGTGCTCTGGGTAACTTGGGTGAGGATTCGCATCAACAAAGTGTTCAACCACCACGGCAGCCGCTCACGGATGCAGAGTTCCGCCGATTTCTGGATCCCATCGGACAGGTGATACACCCGAAGGAATTAAGGGCCGTAATATACTTTGGCGGGATTGAACCCAGTCTACGTAAAGTGGTTTGGAAGCACATATTGAACGTGTACCCTGAAGGCATGTCTGGACGCGAGAGAATGGACTACATGAAGAAAAAGTCGCAGGAATATCAAAATCTTCGAGAAAGGTGGAAATCCCTTGTTCAAAAGGGACAAAACGTAGGGGACCTGGGTTACGTGACGAGTATGGTGCGCAAAGACGTTTTAAGGACCGATAGACACCACAAGTTCTACGGTGGATCCGATGACAATCAGAACACGGCCAGTTTGTTCAATATCCTGACTACGTACGCATTGAATCATCCAAGCGTCAGTTATTGTCAAGGCATGAGCGATCTAGCATCTCCTCTTCTTGTCACGATGAGGGACGAGGCGCAAGCGTACATATGCCTGTGCGCTCTTATGAGAAGGTTGAAAGATAATTTTATGCTCGATGGAATTGCCATGACCACTAAGTTTGCCCATTTAGCTGAAGGTAACTGCGATTTAATACAACGTTACTGTGTAGTTTAATTTGTCTATTCCTTCAAACAGTGTTATATTTCGCAAATATGCTAATTATAAAGAATGAAAGAAGTTTCGATTCTAATGGTATCTAAAATATTATAAATAATATCGAGTTTTATATAAATGCTTATGTTTTCCAAACTCGTGACTACTTTTATCTTCAATTGTAGCCACGTTTTAATGTAACGGCGATTGAAACGTGGGTATACTTGAAAAAGTATTTTATAAAAAGTATTTTAATTGACTATGTATATGTACTACGTATAATCTTCAGTTTTCTAAAGTAGGATTATAATATATATTTTTTTCAGGTTTACAACATTACGATCCGGATTTCTACGTTTATTTGAAGTCTCATCAAGCGGATGATTTATTGTTTTGCTATCGGTGGCTTTTGTTGGAAATGAAACGGGAATTTGCTTTAGACGATGCTTTAAGGATGCTTGAAGTTTTATGGGCCGCGTTACCAGCTTCGCCACCGAATGGAGAACTTAATCTCGCGGAAGTACCATTTCCTCCACCTTCGCCGCCACCGAGTCCAAATGTGAAACATATTCGTGAAAATGCATACACAAAAGTCTGTGCTATCAGGCGACAAAGTTCTTCTGCAAGCATTGCAGCTACTGGAAAGAGAAAAACAATGAATACAGAAGAATCTACACAACTTTCGACAGAAACCAATGGAGATTCGAAACGGTGCGTATTTCTAATAGAAAACTATAAAGTTATTATTATAAGTGGCAATGAAAATTATTATTTATAGATCAAATTCTCCATACGAAGCATTCTCTGAACCAGAAAATGATTTAACAAGTGCAAAAAATCGAAGAAATTCCGAATCTACGGAAAAGTGCCTAAGTACAGGATCATTACCTGGCAAATCTAAACGTGGAAACTTGTTGGAACTGAAGGAAAGATTATCATTACCAAGTAAAGATCAAAATAAAAATAACGAACAAACTGAAAACGAGAAAAAATGCGCACGGGTGGTAAAAAATCTAAATGAATTCTTGAATTTTACAAGCCTTAATCGTAGTAAAGTAACGCCAAGCGATACCGAGCCAGAATTGAGGTTAGTTTATCCATTGAATATTTTCTTTAAGATCAATTGTATAAATTATTAATAAAATATTTCTTATAATAATGTAATTTTATATTGAAAATGACTTATTTTCTAGACGAGTTTCGAGCGAGAGCGGTGTTATAAGGGTATTAAAAGACGAGCCTAGTTCGCCAGATGATGCAACAGACTTCTTCCCAATGACTACTTCGATGACTAGAGAGTTAAGACTGGAACTAGAATCACTGGATCGACAAGTTTTCGGACCATCACCACCCAGCGATCAGCAATGTGATTGCGTTCTTTCAAAACGAGATAGTGAACTTGTTGAAAATGAAACGGACACAGAATTAGCAAGGTGCAGTCCAGCCGCAGATGTATTCGTTTGGGAAAATCCTCTTCATACATTACAGCCTAAAGCTCATCCAGCTACTCCTGATGAACAAGCAGAACTTGAGTACGATGGAGAAATATTGGAGGACCAAAATGGTGTTAAATCTGTTACTCCTATTAGATTATTAAAACGTACTACTAGGTATAAATTACTTCTTACAAACACTGACACTAATATTGCTTGAAGTAAGATTGCTTATTGTATACGTATACATATAATGCAGGTCTGAATCGGCATCAGATAGCGAAGAAACAGAAAGTTGGCATCAAAATGCAACTATACCTGAAAGTCCAACTAAGCAACCTGTACAAGAACACTGTGAAGAAGCTGCAGAATTGATGAATCTTATACCAGCAGGTACAAATGAAGATCAGTTAGGAGAAAGTTCTTTACCTCCACCCAACGAGTTCGGCGGTGGTAACCCCTTCCTTATGTTCCTGTGCATTACGCTTTTACTTCAACACAGAGACTTTGTCATGCGTAATCAAATGGATTACAACGAAATGGCCATGCATTTCGACAAAATGGTTCGTCGACACAACGTAATTCGAGTGCTCAATCAAGCGAGGCAGCTGTTCGCTGGTTATCTTAGAAGACATTCTTCTTCATCATCAGCGACGAAGTCAGACTCTATAAACGTATAAATACTATAAGCTCTTAATGCCTGAATGTATTTGCTGATACCATTTAACATGAATTGTGAAATTATCAACCTTGAATCGAAACTCTTCGGTCGAAAACAATGAACAATAAGTGGAAGGATGTTTTTTAAATCGGAGAAGTGAGTCGATATGCTTCCATCGACGAAAATATGTCACATGAAATACGTATCGGTAATAGAATAGGCAATAAGAAAATAAAACAATCTTTCCCGAAGGTGCTCTTCCGATCATTAAAGTCATCGATTTATTGCGCATTCTCTTAACCCTTTCAGATTTGCAGTTTCTTATTTACACACTTATGTACAAAAATTGTTATTGTTTAATGGTGAAACTTTTAAACACTGAGAATAATATTTTTTATAATATTTATTTATGTCTCTTTTACTGCCCATCGATCAGTTTTTTTAAATAAAATTTAATTTTTGTTTACAAAAAAATTAATTTTAAATTGAAAGGGTTAATATCCTCACGTGTATATACATACTGAATGTGTATATACACTGATGTAATTATATTTGCAATTTAGTAGCGCTTGTTATAAAGCAATTTAAGATACATTTGTATCATACATATTTCGAAGTTCGTGAAATCAAATTAACTGAATATTTCTTTGATATTTAATGTATGAAATTTATAGTACATCCTAAAATGGAAGCTAAAACAACACACCATGTTATGAATGGCACTCTGTTCATTTTATCTGTTTATCACGATATCACCTATACCATATGCACTGCATCGACAAACCCTTTCGCTGTACCTCGATTTAGAATTAAGCCAATAGTTTAAATTTGTAAAATACCTATAATTACCGTAGCAACCGTCTCTTATTTTGTTCTCAAACTGGATACTTGAGAAACGACAATAAAATGCATTTAATTTTATCGCTAATAGTTGTGAAGTATTAATTCATTTGTATTCTTTGTAATTTCAGAAAGGTTAACGCTCATCTTAATTTTTTATACGCGTAATATTCTTAGTTTTTATACTTTATTTTAAATAAACTAATAATTTACAGAATGGTATCTATCAATTACAATATTATCCTTACTTATTCATCATATTAATACATTATGAATACCACTATTTTGTATAAAACTGATAAATTAACACTTCTCGATTTGTGTCGTTTTCATACAATATTTACTATCTTACTTTCGCCTATTATTACCTCCGCCTGCCAATATCATGACGATTCTTGTGAAGATGTTCAATGTGTCCAGATAAATAGATATAGCACTAAAATAATGGAAAGAAATGAAAATTTTCATGTACATGTAGATTCGTATAATTTATAAAGAAATTACTTACTTATTAATTGGATCGTACGGCTTTAGATTATATCCGTATTTTGGATGTGTTTCTGCCTGTTTAATAATTTTCTGTGTATCATACAACAGGAACATAGAAAACAGAATTAAACCACCATACAAGGTCATTGCGTGTAAACCAGACCCAAGAACTGTAGTTGGTGGTAAAAACATTGAACCCACAGAACTCGCAAACACAACTCCTAAGCCAAGTGCTAATGGTCCTCCCATTTGTAGGAATTTCTCACTTGGAGCAGAAACAGCTATCGCTGACAGGCCACAAACTGCTCCAGCAGTATACCATGCCGCTCGAAGTATCAAAGGACCACCCAAAAAGTATAAAGGCGCAAGTACTCCGCCAAGAATACCAGCATGGGCTAACCATGCCATTTGCTTTGCTCCAAAGCCTTCCTGATAAGGAATACTATGTACTAACATTCCACTGCCAATCATAGCTACCAGAGTAACACACATGGCTCCCAATCCTTGACGTGAAACTATGTTAAGAACAGTTGATGAACGTAAACAGGCAGCAGCAGATACTGCACTAGTTACTATGGTCGCACCAAAATACATGTATGTATCTTTAACTCTATCTTTCACGTACTGGGGCCATAACCTATGAAAAATTATATGTTATAGTACATCTATCTTGTTTGTATCGCTAATATGTTGACTATAATAATATTGCTAAAGAAAGACAATACCCTGCATTATCTATGGCACCTGTAGATGATGATAAACCTAATCCATAATAACATAAAGCACCTAATCCTATTACTGCACCACCAGCAACAGCACCTTTTCCAATGTTGAATGCTACAAATTAAATATATAATCTTTTTAATAATAACTTGTGTAATAGAAAAATTTAATTGCTATCAGTGCATAATAACAATATTGATCTTATTTTATCAATTAGTATTAGTCTGAAACATCTGATTCATCTGATTTATGTCATTTACATATTCTAGTGTACAACTCGGGAACTAATTATCAAGTATTTGTTATACACAGTATCCCAAATGTAGACAGTCAAACTGCAAGGATTTAATTTACACATAAAAGGAGGATAAGAAATATTCATAAAGTTTGTCACAAAATGTTCTATTAGAGTTATAAACAAATATTGTATGTATGAAATACACAGCTACACAGTTTTCTGCAGAATGCACGTCAGGTTGAATTTGTTAATTTCATTTGAATACATGTTATTTATTATGTGCCAACATGAAGAACATTTTCTGACAAACTTTATATAACATTTTTTTTATGTGTAAATTAACATTAAATATACTGTGAACTGTCAAATGACCAGATTTAAAATTTGATTAAAAATTCTTAATTTTTCTCTGTTCATTTAACATTAAACTAATTCCCATATTATCAAATTGATCAATTTTCAAATTTTTGTCTTTCCTTCTGTTTCTGTTTCCAATAAGAAAAATTTATTGTTTAAGTTGTTTACCTTTATTTTATCACTACTTATTTGACTGGTTACGGTAGGTATAGATACATGCAAAGTGTTGGTATGTTTAATGTTAAGCTTTTGCAGTATAGTCATCTAAGATTGGAACAACGTATATACATATGAAAAATTGTTGAAAATGATGACCTTGACAATGTATACCAAAAGCATCAAAATTGGTGAGGAGACAACTATTTAAACATGTTAATAGTTAATATTAATTAACAATATTGCTATTTACTTCTATATACAGTATTATATGCGGTTATTTTCGGTTACGATTACATCATCTTGAGAAAGGCTCTTATTTTTGTATATTAAAGTAAAATTTTTACCTCCTTCACCTGCAGGAGCCATCACCTGTTCTTTAACAGTGATAGATCTGCGACCAGATCTAACGTATGCACTACGTCCATCGCTGGCAAACAATCTTGCGGATTGAATCCTTGGAATAAACGGTTTCGACGCAACAGGATTTTTCATAAAACTAACCAGGGGTGGTAAGGTACCCCGGCATACTCTAGCGAGCATCATCTTCACTCCTTAGAATTTGGTTTATAAAACTGGCAAACAAGAAAAAAACATTGAATGGTTTGAGAAAACGTGGTATGTTGGAATAATTTAAATATTACACACGACTTTTTAACGTAATAAAGGAATCTTGAAGAATTCAAGAAATTTGCACGTTCAGTACGATTTATTCGGAATGCGTGATTAATTTTCAAAAATTTTCGTGATTACTCACATTAGGCAACAAATCGCAACTGCTTCTCTAGAGCAATCGAAGTCACAATCTGACTAAACTGCGTCAGTTCACGTTATTATTGCATTTATTTGACGCATGCGCTTATTTAAAAAAACACAATCGATAATGATGGTATTTTAGTGTGGCGATATTGGCGCCATTACCGACAAAGAACAAGATAGACTGACATACCGATTCTGTAAAAAAAGTATTTAGTTTTTTCATAGTTTTATAAGCTATGTAATATACTTATTAACTATTTCACCACGAATGATTAACACGTCTGCTCTTTTTGAGATATTTTAATGAAATGGATAACTATTGTTTTCTAGTGAATAACTAATCTTTTCAAATTCTATTCCTCAGTGCTGCTGATATAATTCATGTCTTTCAAATATAACAACTTCCAAAATATTTCCATTTGCAACTTCTTTAATAAAAAGTTTTTCATTTCAAATAATAAATTATTGCAAGACTAATATTTCAAAACAAATTTTCTAATTTTTGTTCCGCTTTTAACGTCAGAAATTTTCGGCAATTAGCTTTAAATTTTCTTTATTTTGAAAAGTGAAAAATTTGTCAGTTGTGAATGTGTTAAGAATTACATCTGAATCAATAGTTGAAGTTAGAAAAATTGACAAACATAAATTATTAAGTATTAAACTAATATATATGTATATGGATTTAAATTTATTTTTAATGAAAGACTGCAGTTTCATTGCAATATAATAAGAATATTATTAATAAATATAATAGACTATTATATAGACTATATAAAATGGATCATATCAAACTATTCTAATGAATTTGAAAGTATAAAAAAAGGTATGATACAGTATATTATAAACATTTTTTCTTCCTCAAAAAATCACTTTACCTTTCAATTTGCAAGTCATGCATGTTTATGTTTTAAAATGAAATGATCTTGAATTTAGAACATTGATATCTAAATGTGTTCAAAATTAAAGTTGTATCAGATACACAGTCTTTACACGCCAAATATCTATGTTTTACAAATTTATTTTGTATTTTCATATCCATTAAAAATGTTAATGTTCCTCATAATTTTATATGATTCTGTATATGATCTAGTAAATACAATCATATTTTTCCATTTTCTTTTTTCTCTGATCTTTTAGTCTGTCTTTACATGTAGTCTTTGTAAGCAATATTAGAATGGATTTACAATGTTGAACCACTACAAAATCATCTTTTTCCAATTAAATGTGGTAATCTAATAAAACACATTTTATTTGAGAAAAAAAAAATTCATTACAAGTAAGTTCAAAATGAACTCAAATATTGCCATTGGTCTTTTTCTAAATTTATCAGTTTTAACTTACTCGCTTTCTTATTTTGTTTACAGCCTTATTCATGTGTGGTAAATTTACCTCAAAACTTATGGTGGTAATGTAATGCTAATATTTGCATCAACACTTCTTTCTTTTGTAATGTTAACTTATACTTTCTTAAACTTGATATAAATTTTTTAAAGTGATTAAGATGCTGAGCCTGTTTCTCTTTTTTAGTACTCTTACCATTGTTTTTCTTATTATTTCCATCTTTGTAATATAGATGAAGAAAGCCATGCAATTCTGATCTTGTTAATGTACGTGGTAAAAAAATCTGATTGTATGCATGAACAGTACGTAAATACCATCTATCTTTGATGTCTATTGTTCCATGTGGTGAATTGTGCATCATACATTTTAATTTTTTAATAATACATTGTAAACCTATTATGTGACGACTTAACTTTGAGTTCACATGAGACATATATAATAATGTACCCCAGAAACTTAATATCCTTTCAGAAATATCCTTTAATATAATATAATTCCGAGTTTTCAGCTTTGACCTTTTTAATTCTTCTATCTGCTTACACAGAGAGTTAGGGTCCTGTAAATTTTGTTCCAATTCCAGCCACTTTGTAGACAAAAATTTAAACATTTGTTTACTATTACGTGGAATATTTATATAAAGATTTAAATGTTTTCCTTCATCTTTAACTTTTAACCAAAACAAGAAAATTTCATATATGTGTGATGGATTACCATTTGTTGAACGTATTCTTATTTATAATTCACCATCTGAAGAACGATATATTAAGACTTCAAATTGCACTGTCTTTATCAATTCACTGAAGAAAGGTGGAGGAAAATGATCTTTTAAATCATTCAATTGTGCTTCTTCAAGTCTTTTATACATTTCTTGGCAATCAGGTTTTGTCGTATGAAAAGTACCATATGAATATAAAACGGAGCTATCTGGAATATTCACTGATCCTTGGGGAAGTATTATATTTCTATAAGGATTAGTTTTTTTTAATTTTTTACTTTTAACCAATGGTATAAAGTCTTCATTCGTAGTATTTATTCTTATAGAGTTTTCACAGTTTGATTTGTTTGTATAATCTGATACAAATTCTGGTGCTGGATAGTGCTGAGACCACTGATAGTTGTAACATGTAGAGGACTCATGTCCATGTTTAGTACAATTATAACAGTAAAGCAAATCTGTTGATGTCATAACTTTAGATAAATTTTCTGAAATGTTTATTTCACAATTGTGTATCTGAAATAAAAAATATTGATCAAAAATTTGAAATTTCTATTTCTACCATTTATATTATCGAATAAATAACAAACTTACTGTCTGATAAAATCTTCTTGAGAGATCAGGATTCTTTGTTGACTTGTATCCTGTAATCCGATAGCAGAAGTGTCAAATTGAAATCTTGCGAGTTTTCTAGAATCTTTCCTCTCATTGAGAATCACCCTCTTTATACTTATTTTCACCTGTTTGAATCGACACTCGTAGAGCTGCTACATACACAGTCTCGGGCAGCTCTTTAAGTAGAGGTACCTACCGAGGAAACGCTGATGGAGAGTCAATAGCCTAAGGAGAGGCAGTTCGATATCTTTATTGTAATCGAATGTATTAAATTCATCACCCTAATTCATAAATGATATAAAAAAACGATCACTTTTTTTACAAAATTGGTATTTCAAATCATCGGATATGAAGTCACTAACGAGAGACAGGATAGACTAAACATCTTATGGGACTTCGTATCCAATGTCTGAAAAATTTAATATTGAAACAAGAAAATAAAACAGAACATGTTTTTTTATTTATTTATTTGTATTTATTTGTACTCTCTTGGTAAGATTGTAAATAACACAGAAATAGTAAGGGGAATCACGATAAGTCCCCAGTCGCGGGACAAAAATTTATATTGGACGTGGACTTAAGATATTTACGTATTTAAGTCAGGAGTGACAAACTACCTCCCTCAAGCTAGTGACTCCCATTAGGGATTCCCTACTAAGTAGTACTAGGTAAGTATCTACTTCTACTCAAAGAGTTGCCCGAAATTGTGTATATATGAGCAGTTCTATAGTGGTGTTCAATACAACAGGTGAAAATAGGTATGGAGAGGGAAACTTTTCATGAGGGGAATGTCACTAGAATGCCCACGGGTTATTCAATTAGACATCTTAGTCTTAAGTCTGTGCCCTGTGCTAATAACGCTATTACAATACCTAAGAATCTAATAGGTAAATATCTACTAAGAGGTAGGTAGGTATGTACTACCTCATCTGTGGCGCTACACAACGTTCAAATCTTTAAGCAGAAGTTACTTATCTATCGTACGGATTTCAAGTCTGTGTTTATAGTAATCCATGTTTAACAGTTGTCAAAGAACTATTCAAATACGAAAAAGTATTAAGAAACTATCTTTTATATTTTAAACTTTTATCAAATGGAAAATATTAAAAAAATGATAGAAGTTTTACATATGAAAGAAGTAATTTGTGAAAAACAGTTTGCGGAGGAGGAAAAAAAGCAAATTGCAGAATATGATTATTTGATTGAAACATTACAAACTATGGAAGGTTTGTACTTTTTTATTTAACACTTTCAACCCGGCGCATTTTTTCGAAGTTTCTATGTCCGGCGTACATAAAATGATAAGTTGTTTATTCATCTGGCAGCGCTTGTTTACTTCAGTACTTTTCACGTTATCAGTAACAATCATCAGAGTCTGAGTAGTTATGTGAGTTCTTAAAAATACTATGGTGAAGGTATAAATGCAGCAAAGAAGTAGTACATTGAAAAATGTTTTATTTGTGTGGACCACCTGTGGTTCACGCCGCCAGATGATAGTAATGCCCGTGGACCACTGGTGGTCCACGCCGGGTTGAATGTGTTAAGGATAACTTATTTTACTTTTACTAGTTTTAATATATAGTTCTAATTATATATTTATTTTAGACGAGAGAAATGAATGCAAAGAAACTTTATCTAAAAATCTTCAACGTATTACAACGCATAAGCATTCAATATATAACTTATGTATAAACAATTCTGAAAACCCTATGGCATTACCAATTTCCCATGAATACCATCGGTATTAAAGCTTTATTATGATGTACATTTCATATTATAAAATATGTTTTACATATTTTCTTTTAGGCAAACAGTAACATTTTTATCAGAAGCAATCAATTTTATAAATGGAATACAAAATGTGTATAGAAATCTTGATAATACCACTGAAAGGAAAATCAATTCTATAGATCTTATTAATGATATTGTAAGTTCACTTTATATCACTTATATTAAAATAACCATTTCCAACTTCTTTTTATGTTCTCGTGCTTTTTTCAGATGTCTTGCACAAAGTTCATAGGAAATGAAACATGTAGGATAAAATCTTTAATAACTGGAATAGAAACTTTGCAAAACAATGTAAATGTGTTACATAAAAACTAATTGGTTGCATATAAGTTTCAGTCTATAATAACATTTCATTAGGAACTGAAATAAAATTTCATAAATTAAACAAAATACACTTACTTGTTTTTGTCAGAATATTGAAATTACTTAGCGAGTAAATTTTTAATAGAACAATTTAAACAAAGTAATTGGAATTATGAATATAAATACCTTAAGACCATTAACTTATGTTTCAAACAGAATCAGTATCATTGTCATATTAAATTATTAAATCAGTATCTTTTAATAAAAATTTTATGTATTATATTGTAAATAATACTATAGGATTTAAAATATTTATAATAAATCCATATAAAATCTTATTTCTTAACAATTTATATGTATTAAGTGATAGAATTATAATGATCGTTAAGATTTAATTTCAGCATGAGTAGATTTGGATCTACGATTTTCTGCAAGAAGTAGTTTAAGGTAAAAACATATTTCATATGTCAGTATTTGTTTTCAATAAATAATATTTCCTTACCATTAATTCTGAAGTAACTTGAGATGATGAATGCATAACAGATAAAGGTAAAATTTTATTGTAAACGTTACGTGACACATTTATGTCCCTTTCTGGTTTTTCTGTTTCACAAGACACTGAGATCATCTGTCCTCTTTGAAGTAAGAACATATATTTAAATATTAATAAATATATTTTAAGGTAAATGATTGTATTGAAAATATTTTCAAATTCAAAACGGTTAAAATTAAAAGATGTGTAAATACTTTATATATACATACTTTGAAACATTATATTGTTCGCTAACAATTCTTTTTTCTTTTTCCATTAATGCTTTAAATTGTATTTGTAGCAGACCAAGTGTCTCTTTATATTGATTTTCTAAGTGTTTTGCATCTTTCAAAGCTTTCATTCCTTCTTCTTTTTTTCTTAAAGCTGACTATAGTATACCAAATTATATAACATTTAATTGTGAATGCTTTATAATATAATTGTAACCCGAATAAGTATATTTATATTTAATATTACCTGTGTAAGTTTTTCAAGTTCTTTAGCTCGCGAAACAAGCAGATTTTCTTTGTCTTGTAAAATTTGTTTGTGGACATTAAGTTCATTAATTTTTTCTTGCCATTTTAACTTTGTTCTATCAGCACATGCTGCAGCTTCTTGTGCAGTCTGAATAGCTGCTTCTAACTGTAAACGATTATTAAAATATAAATATTATTATTACTTCAATATACATTCAATATAATTAATGTATTGATTCATAAAATTTTATACCTCAATTTTGGTAACGTCATCACTATTAATCTTGAGTCTGTTCATAATTTGTAATTGTGCCTTTTCTGCTGCTACTTCTTCTCTTTCTTGTACAATTAATTTTAATTGTCTATCGTGTTCTTTTACCCAAGATTCTTTTAATGCCTATAGTTGTAATTTACATATCAATATCCCCAGTAAATTATTTTTAAGAAGCATGTATAGACAATACTACTGACTTGAATATAAACTTGATTCATACCTGTAAATAATCTCTTTCCCATTTTGCTTTTTCTTCGAATAGCTCTCTTTCTTTTAAAAGACTTGCTGTTTTGTTTTCAAGTGTTTCTTGAGTTTGATTATTGTGCACAGTGACCTTCTGTAGTTCTTCTATAAGTTGTGTAAACTGAGTACGAAATATTTCTATTGTTCCAATAAATTTATTATGGTCTTCCCTTAAAATGTCACTCTGATTTTTTAAATCAATCTTTTGAGCTGCGAACATTGTTTATATAACACACACGAAATGATTTATATTTAATATTACAGAAGAAGCTAAAATTAATATGAAGTATTAGGGGGACCGGAAAGAAATTCGTTATTTTTAATTATAACAAAGTTTTATTATTTCATACAAATTTTTAAATATTAATCCAAAATATAATTCCCTTCTTCTTTTAAGGCAGTGTCCCATCTAGTGATCCATTTTTAAGAATCACTTTTTTGAATTAATATTCAAAAATTTATATAAGATAATAAAGCTGTCCTGTAGAGATTAAAAATAATGGATTTCTTTCCAGTTTTTCTGATATAATTAAAAAACTGCATATTAATATGTAATTTAATATGGTCACCTTTTATGTCATCTTCATAAATTTTTAAATAATTTTCATGGCGATCCATCAGCTCAGTATCTTTAAGTTCTGTTTTTTCTTTATTTTGCTTGATATTCTCAATAATAAAATTAGCTTTCTGTAACATATCTTCCATGTCGACTTTTCGAGTAGTGATAGTCTCTATTACTTGATCTTCTGTTTGTTTAGCTCTGCATATACTTTCTATTGTATTAGAATATTCTTTTTGCAAAAGCTTTATATTTTGAGAATGCAGTTCATTAAGTTCTTGTACGCGTTGAGCATGTTCATTCTATGTATAAGATTTACATTATGTAAATAAATAGCTATTATTATTTTCAACGTATTTTTTATTCGTTTAAATGAATAATTAAAATTGATTTTAAAAAAACGAATTTTCTGCGATGTAAAGTAATATGAAATTTAATATAACTAATAATACTGTTAATATTATA